CACACACACACACACACACACACACACACACACACACACACACACACAGATCTTTTCTACACGATACTGCTGCTACAGTAGTCTGAGGGTGCTTTAGTTCAGTGCTGTAGCATAAATCATCTGAAAAAATGATTTTGAAAATGTGTGTAACCACTAGGGCTGTATCCGAATATTTGGTCGTTGGCCCTCTATTCGGTTTTCAATTTCGTTATTCGGATATTCTTTTTTTTTTGGCAGCCGCATCTCCAATATCAACGTAAGAGCTTGTGTCTCTTCGGGGGGGTGCTAACACTTAACCATAAACGTTATCCTTTACTTTCTCCGTCTTTTATATGTAGGCCTAGATATTACTCCGTTAATCTCCGCTCCTTTTGTCCATCACGTTGTTTCCATAGCAACAACAGCTTCCTGTCAACAGCGCTAACTCTCCTTCAAAATAGGAAGCCAAGCCAAATTACACTTAAGACATATACAACTGCAACAAAAGTAACAAACACAATATCCTTTTCAATTTTAAAGAACATAAATTGGGTTATATACATTAACGAGTAACTATAAAACAACAAAACTGTAGAATAACAAAATGAATGCCTTGAATAAACCGAAATACACGTGTTGAAGCTCGCGCCGAATACCCGCTGCTGATTAATATCGAATATCCAGAGCCCGAAAAAAGGTATTCGGGACAGCCCTAGTAACCACAAGTCAGCTTCTCCAAGCCACTTTTAAAATGTTCTTTGGATTTCTGTTTCTCTGATCTCTGTGTTTAAAAATCAATCAGTCTAAACCAATATCGATTCTTAAAACATGTTTTAGAGTAGGGTGTGATCTTGAGCTGTCCTGCAGAGTTAAAGCTCTCTTTCTGTCTCCGTTGTGTTTCTCTGCAGCTGCTCGGCAGTATGACCGAGTGTTTGTGTGTGGATGTCCAGAGTCTGGGAGTGTGGAGGCAGCTCTACACCAAACACTTACCCCAGTCCAGGTGAGTCATTCAACATGAGAAATAGAAAGAAAACACAAAAGGAAGACGCTCTGTTGCAAAAGCAGATTAACCTAAACAATTTTTAAAGTAGTAAAAATGCAATTGTAAATAAAAAATGACCTTTTGAGATACTTTTAAAATACTGATAGATAAGGCTGACTGTTTGTTCTTCTTTCTTTTTTCTCTAGTCTTCTGTTGAACCATCTAGGGAAGTCCTGGAAAGTCCTGCCACCAAAGGTACGACCCCTCCTGCCACACTCATCTCCCTAGAGATAGTTTAATTAGAGCTTTATGGCATGTTTCCATTTTGAGAACAATATCAGTCCGGCTCGAAATGAAGAAATCATCTTCTGGAAAACTCTCCTTTATGATATCTTTGTGTGTTTTGTGCTTTCTTCACTCTCCTTAGCTCCGGAACAACCTCGAAGAAACGATCCAGTCCTTCAGAGTGACCAATGAGGAGATGAAAGACACCGTTGAATGCCAGGAGCTTCAGGAGTGTAATAACCTGTGCCAGGTGAGACAGGCTGTCCCTGTGTAACCTGAATTAAGCTACAACAATAAAAGGTAGCTAACAAATACAATTGAGGATTATATTTTTGTTTCCTCGTGTCTCCAGAACCTGCAGGTGAAGATGCGCGGGCGTGGGTTCCCCTGGTCCAAAATGTTCATGGTTCTGCTCGTGTTTGCCGCCGGCTTCATCGCACAGGACATCAGGTCCCATGGCTCCTTCGCAGGTCAGTCTTGAGTTTATCGTTATTTTTATATATCAGAGCGTGCAGAAATGGAACCATTGTCTCTTCATCGTCACGTGTTTGGCCCTGCTTCTGTCTGTTTGTAGCTCATCTAAAATACTGGACCTATCAACCATGACCTGATGCTTTAATTTACGCTTTAGGACATTACATTACATTTAGCTGACGCTGTTATCCAAAGAGACTTACAATAAGTGCATTCGACCAAGAAGATACAAACCTGAAGAAAACAGAATCATATAAGTACATCAGGTTTCATAGAGCCAAACATCTCAAGTGCTACTCAACTAGCTTTAGATAAGCCGGTCCTTTATTAGTATATAAGTGCTTAGTTAGTATATAAGTGCTTGGTTAGTATATAAGTGCTTAGTTAGTATATAAGTGCTTAGTTAATATATAAGTGCTTAGTTAGTATAGAAGTGCTTTGTTAGTAAGTGCTTAGTTAGTATATAAGTGCTTTGTTAGTAAGTGCTTAGTTAGTATATAAGTGCTTTGTTAGTATATAAGTGCTTTGTTAGTATATAAGTGCTTAGTTAGTATATAAGTGCTTAGTTAGTATATAAGTGCTTTGTTAGTATATAAGTGCTTAGTTAGTGTATAAGTGCTTAGTTAGTAATTCTATTGCTCGAAGTGGAGTCTAAAGAGATGAGTTTTCAGCTCATTCCACCATTTTGGAGCCAGGATAGCAAACCCACGTGTTTTTGCTGATGGGAACTTGGGTCCCCCTCGCAGTGCGGGTGCAGCGAGCTGTTTGGCTGANGAGCTCATTCCACCATTTTGGAGCCAGGATAGCAAACCCACGTGTTTCTGCTGATGGGAACTTGGGTCCCCTTCGCAGTGCGGGTGCAGCGAGCTGTTTGGCTGATGCAGAGCGGAGTGCACGTGCTGGGGTGTACGGTTTAACCATGTCCTGGATGTAGGAAGGGCCAGATCCATTCACAGCATGGTACGCAAGTACCAGTGTCTTGAAGTGGATTCTAGCAGTTACTGGAAACCAGTGAAGGGAGCGGAGGAGCGGCGTGGTGTGGGAGAATTTAGGAAGGTTGAAGACCAGACGAGCCGCTGCATTCTGGGTGAGCTGCAGAGGTCGGATGGCACATGCAGGTAGACCAGCCAGGAGGGAGTTACAGTAGTCTAGGCGTGAGATGACGAGAGCCTGGACCAGAACCTGCGTGGCTTGCTGGGTCAGGAGGGGACGTATCCTGATGTTGTAAAGAATGTTAATATTTCCTGCGTGTTGTGTTTCAGAATCCACCACAGCCTTGCATCTGCGCAACTCAGGGGTCACAGCCGTATCTCAGCAGGCCTTGAGCAAAATAAAAGTGTACTCATCACAGGGCTTCAGGTACGACCTCACACTCTTACGTGCATGCTCATGTCATAACGTGTGTGTAAGTAAAGCAAGCATTAGACCAACATGTCTGTAACTCTTCCCTCCCACAGACGAATTGTCCTCATTTGACTTGATGTTTTTATTTGGTGTCTCTCTGTGTTCTGTAGCTGGTTGGAGACCAACACTCCTCATTATTACTCCGAGTGTGCTCGGGTTTTGGGGCCGCTAATGGACCAAGGCATGGAAAAGACAAAAACAGCAGCCATGTTCATCTCTGAAAACACAACGCAGTTTATTCTGTGGGTCAAAGAAAAGACGCCGCAGGCCATCGATTGGGTAAGGCTGGAAAACTGTCCCTCGATGTTTACCTCTTTGAATCCGAAGAGTTGTAAACAGTTGTATCGTATTTATTGAACTCGTGTGTTCCCTCTGTTTGTTCCTCAGGTGATCACCAACACTCCCGACAGCGTGTTCACGGCGTTGGCGTATCTGAAGGAGCTGCTCCTCTCGCTCCATCAGAACTACATCCTGCCCGCGCTGGCTTTCATTTCTGAACTGTTACAGCGAGCGTGGACAAATCTACAAGAGTCCTGCAAGTCAGTAACTTAAGAGCTTCTTTTCACATTTAGTTCAAATGGCCGCTTCATCTCCAAATCCAAGCCTTACTTCACCCGCTGTGTGTTTTTGAAAAATGCTTTAAAATGGCGGTCTAAGTGAGCAATACTTCTTTAATTATGATCATTGAAGTATTATCTAGTATTTACTAGCTGAGACGTATCTCAAGTTTTAAGGATGCATTTAGGGATTCTGTTTTTTTTTTTTCCAGTTAAGATAAGATAGGACTTTATTTATCCCGAAGGAAACTGTTGTGCCAGAGTTACAAACATACAATGATCACAGCAGCATAATAATGATAAAACTGTACACTAACAGTGAAGTGAAAAGAGCAATTCAATATCTCCAGGAAACAGACGGTCAAATCATTCATGTCAATATTAACAGTATTTAGTAGTGCAAAAACCGTAGTGGCAGATACGTAATTCAGGGGGTCCGCG